CACGGGCTACGGCACGTGTGGACATCAATAGCTGTTTTATGATGGTAATCACCCACTGAAATCTGGATAGACCAGGACGTCTATTTTTTTTTGCACTAAAACTGTCAAACTGACGGTGGCTTTATTTATATTCTACTTAGTAGGCCACTGTGTGTGAAGTGTCATTGTGCATTACTGTACACAGCAGTGGCTTAGTTTAAAGATGCAATTATAGATCCATCCAAAGCGACATTTTCCCCTACTTGTATCTCGTTGAGACGTTAATAAGCAAGCGTTCCATTTGTTTGTGTTCATATGAAAGACTGACGGTGTCCTTTTAAAAGAGGGCAGCGCGATTTAACAATCGAATTTCTAGTTGAGGCATACGAGTGCAGTATTGCTGTGAATGTGGGTCATTGTTGAATTAGCAATAGTTAATTTTGTCATACAATAAATGGGTATTGCAGCGTCATTCATAGCAGTACTTGTCCTCGTAGGGACAGCCATAATTGTGTTTCTGATGATCATTGTCATTTAGTAGGTGATATTGAAGGAGTTGGAAATTGAGAAAAGGTAAAATTTGTAACTTTAAAAAAATCAAATTTGCTTCTCATCATTTCGAATGTGATTGGTCGATATGCTTGTAAAGATGTATTCGTTTTCATACTTTAGTTTTATACACCTATTTAAGTGACCAGGTGTCTCAGCAGTTGGTTTCGAGTTCATAATCTGGTTTGGGGTGGAGGCTAAATCATCCCATTATTCCTCCGGGGTTTACAAAATAAGTACCACTCTGTGGGAAAGTCAACAGCGGTTAACCTATTGATATAGTCACCTCGGCCATAGGAATGTGTAATATTCACCACTATACACAGGACATAGACACAGACTCATTGCTCACTTGAGCAGGAAATCACTTTGACTCTGATTTACTTAAGCATATCCACGAGTTGTGGTTACGTTGTCGAACTCTAAGCTGCAATACCGGCTCTTCGTTTTTCTGTCAGTGCTGCGCCGCACTGCAGCGGAGTTCATTGAACCCCCGGTGGCAGCTGCGTCGAGACCGTCTCTGCTCGCAAACCGTCAGCTGGTACACTAAGGCGCCCTCTTGCCTTGGCCACGGAACAGGGAGCAAGCTGTCACATTGTAACCTGAAGCGAGCCTTGATGTTGAGAGAAGAATGAGTGCCACGTTCCACAAAAAAAAACCGCGAATCGTTCCTCGCGCCGGTCTCAGGGCTCATTAGGAGCAGGCCGAGCTGGGGCTGCACGCAGCGAAGACCTTGCGAGACAACCTTTACAGACGGTGCCACACGTGCTGCTGACGGGGAGTCATCTTTGTTTCACGAGAGAGGGCCGCGAGCCCTGCATGCTTTGTAGCCGCGCGGCGCAGGGCAGTTTGAGTGAACGCGGGCTCTTTGGAGAGTCCACCTTCCGTCAAGGAGTCATTAATTCGGAGCGGTGACGTTGAATCGGAATAGCCAAGTTCCTGCAGGTATTGTACTTTCCACTGACATCAGCTTACACTCGCTGGCTTTGAACTTCGAAGGCTTTGTGTGTTTTCCCCTCTGCCCATCATGAAAGATGCCATATGATGGACATCACCTTTCCACAGTTGTGGCAAATGATGACCTATACCAGCGGTACGACACATTCGGTGTATTTCAGACGAAATCTCATTAAATGTGCATGCACCTTTCATTTAATATTCACGTCCCAGGAGGCCGACGCTGTTGTTCTTGCTTACTATGGACTTATCCTGTGTAACACTATGCGTCTCGATTCGGCATCTATTTTTGAGACTCGCAAAGCTACCACGATATCCGTTTCATTGCAGTATATATTTAGTACGTTCGCTCAGCATCATCAATCATCGTCAGCCATAATCTATCCCCCGCTGGTTAATATATGTATATCTAGGGCAAGTGTATGAATTGCTGAAGGCAGAGATCGAAGTGATGAAATAGGGAGGCGGGTAAAGAGCAGGTTGGGAGTGTTTTTTTTTATATATGGAATACCGAACTTATGAAAAGCTATGTCCCAATGTGCGGAAAGAAGAGGGTTTTTAATCAGAAAATGTGACATTATGTATGAAATGCATTGACTCTGGCATTGTGAACGGAAGGAAAGCTGAAGGGTGTACAAAGAAGTGTGGAGAGATGCGAGCTTTGGAATAACATAGCCTTGAAGCGGAGTGCATGCAATAGGTAACTAGCAACGATTAGACCAAATTCCTAACATAACGTATTTGTGCATTGCAGGTGCTTTTTGACTCATCTATTGTAATTCCTAAAAGCCAAAACATTAGTTGAATGGCGTAAAGCATTTGCGTTTGCTGTGCAAAAAGGCATGTTAGTACAAAATAGGAGTTGGTTTTTTGTAGTTTTTTTTAAATAATTATTTCAGCTAAATACCGCTCTTTTACAAAGTCTGCATTATGCAAAATGTAAAAAAAAATCGCAATTTTATGCTGTGACAATTCTATTATCAGCTTAAGATATGTCGAAGGGTTCAGAGGTTAACGTTTCCCTATTTTTAAACAGAAAAATTACTCGAATGCACAATCACTTTCCACAAATATTGCCTCACCAAATACGACCGCAAAGTCACTGAATTCTTCTTAAAGTCGAAACCACAGCGATGGCATTGAAGCCCGCATTTTTGCAGACGTAAAAAAAAGTAAGAATTACGATGTATTGTGCCATTTGCTAAATTGAATTTGGTGCAGAGCAGAATGTTATGCACAAAGCAACCTGAGGAGACTTTTGCAGTCCGAGAACAGTTGTCTCTTTTCAAAAGTTGTGCCCCCATACAGAAAGCTTTGCAGAAAATGCGAAGAATTTGACTGGCCCAGTCAACGAGACATTTCTGGCATCGGTAGTGCATCCTGTCATGTGATAATGACACTTGGTGACATTTTAGTACTATGGCTACTCATTCGTTGACAAAAGACGACTTTAACCCACCGCAAGTGGGGGGTGGGGGGCGAGGGGGAGTGGTGTTGCAGCAGTTTGGACACTTGCACGATTAACCCACTAACCAGAGTTCACTAACCAAACCACGTGATGAGCGACATCTGAACCTGGTCTTGGGTGCCTTCCCCTGGCCTTGCGACCCTTCACCAAGCCACACTGATCAGTGTGAAATGTATGGTCAAACGACCCCCGTGAGGAAGATTTCATCCAGCATCAGTGACTTTACAAGAAAACCCCCACCCACGCATAGCAGGGGGTGGGGGGGGCGGTAACACTCAAGGCTCCGCACAGACGGATTCAAGAATCCATGGCTTTTACTTACGTATCTCAACCACCTCACAGTTCGCCCCCAATCAGTCTCCACTACGTGTAGTAATCTGACGCTGCCTTGGCAACGGTCAATTCAACATCTTTAATCTGGGCGAAATACTGCACGTGTATCCTCCTTGAGGATGATAACTGAAATTGCAGTCCCAGGGATAAAAAAATATATATACCGAAGCAGAGCCAGGGAAATATCCCCCCCCCCCATCAATTTTCACCATGTACGAAATGGACTTTAGTGCGGTAGAATGATGTAACAAAAAATCCTTCCCTTTACACGAAGTCGCGTCTTATACGTAGGCTTTCGCCACCAATATCATCATTCATAATATAACCCCTCCACCACCATCACCCGACAGAACCAATCAAATCAAGTTGTCACGTGGGCAAATATGCCACTTGATTTGGCTTTTGAGCGAACCACAGAATGTTGATCAGCCCAAGGTGCTCTTCTCACAGGATTTGCCGCAACAGTCAGTACGGCTGAATGATCCTCGTATTGGGAGTACCACGTAGGACCACCGAAGGCAAGGATAGATCAGCCATTCATTGGCAATATTTCCTCATACTGCCCAAGAAGACCTATTGCCACCTCTAAGGGCAGTAGGAAGGCGCAGTGGGCAATGACACTCGTGCTCCACAGCAGCAGGAGCCTGGGTTCGATTCCTGACTCGGGCACCTTTATGTGTGGAGTGTGTAACGTTTCTCCCCGGTTCTGCATGGGTTTTCTCTGGGTTCTCCGGCTTCCTCTTGTGGTTGATCAGCTTTGTGAAATACGCACCCCCCAATTAGCACGGTTGGCTACGTATTTTGCGAAAGAGGATCAGCATACACACAACTAAGGAAAACAGTGTTACTGGTGTTGGCCAAACATGCGAATGATGGGGTGAAAATACCTGCAAAATTACTAAATTTGGATTACGCATAGCAGCATCGCCCCCTAACTGCAGAAAACTTTTGATTTAAAGCTTTCGTGACTGCAGGGATTAATATTATTGGTTCTTTCGGTAAAGTCACGTAGAAGGGAAACAATAAAATAATAAAAATATAAAACAATAAAATTCTCACGACGTTTCGACTTTACCGAAAGAACCAAGAATATGCAGAAAACTTGTGAGGCTTACCTGGCTAAAAAAAAAAGTTTAAATTTATTTTTTTATTAAATCCAGTCGGATCAGATCATCATCAGTTATACTGTATCCACTACTGGGTGAAGGCCTTCTTCGGTCGTTGCCAGCCCCTCAGTCTCATAAAAGTAGGAATCCATCTAGCTGCTGCACATGGGCTGTTCTGATTGCTTCATCTCCACGTTGTTTCACCTCTCAGGGGTGTTCCTTCCTTCGGCTGCCAGTCCATCATCAGTATCGGACCGTTGGCGATAGCCTCTTCTAGTGACGTGTCCTGTCCAATCCCACTTGTGTTGGCAGTTATAAACGATTGTTTGGTATTAAAAGATTATAAAATCACCACCGTTTCAAGTAAAATAAAAACTGTAACTCCCTACCGGTAGCAATTGACGTTCTTGGAATAGTTGATCGCTCGTGTTGCCATCTTTAAATATTTACAACAATAATCCCATCGCTTTGTACTGCCAAACTGACCCGTGGTGAAGCCTGGACTTGCTTTGTGTGTTCAGTAAAAATAATTAGGAGATACAAACACATTGATTGACACGTCAGTAAAATACAACATATGAATGAATGAAATAAAAGAGTATCGTTTTATAACAATTTTTTTTTTAATATAGTTCGGTACATTATATACATCTACTGAGAAGAGCTGGGCTTGTGTTCACATGAAGTTTTGGATAAGGACAGGATAAGCGCAGGCAAAGTTTGCGATAGCCACGATAAGCACACATTCTAATCACTCGCGAGCCTCCACTGGACGCGCAATGCACTGGTTTGCCAATGAGTCGTTTCAAAAGTGAAGCTTTGCTTTAAAAGACCGAGAGAACGAAAAAAAAACTGCTCAGTTAGCAAACCACCACACAGGGCAAATGTTGTAAACCTAAGATATCGGTCCAGATTAGCAATGAGATCAACACTCCAACAAATGTGCTGTTTGCATCATTTATGACCAAAGTATGGTGTTTAATGTGCTTTGGTAAAACAGAATTTCACCTCAATAAAATTACTTTCTATCTTTTCATTAATGTCATTATGATTGATGAGTTACGTAAGCCGAGCGTGGTTTTTGTCGGGTTGGCGTTGAACATCGATAAATGCCTTTTCTTCTCTCACTCTTTCTCAGCAAACACTCTCCCGTAGTCCATCTTCGCACGCAATCCCCTTACGATGGCCAGCCGCAGCAGTGCAGTGGCGAAAGCTTCAGAGAAGCAACGCTCAGCGCGTGGCCCAACCCGGAAAGCCGCACTCGGATTTTCAACCGGCTGCTAAAATTTTGCGTGTTGAATAGAGTTACGTAAGGAAAACAACAACCAAAAGAGACGTACTTTCGCCAAAAAAGATGAATATTTTTTCCACTAAAAATGTTTCCTTCAACGTATACTTGTTTTACTCAATGGTGACCAATGTCCTTGTACCTTTGTGACCACTCAATGCAGAGAAAACCCCCACTCACTTTATGCAATTAACATTAGCGAAAGTGTGTCGAGATGCATACATAGACCCCCCCCCCCACTCCGTTCCCCTGTAAAGAAAGTAAAGCGATAGTGCAAATGGTGCGATGATGGCTTGGTTATAGAATAGACTAAACGTGGCTTCTTAGTCGTCCCAGATTATTATTTTAAAAGCAACGAGCGTAAAGCACCTTCCCAAATCAAAGCAGAGGGATGAACCGGATTAATATCGGCGGCAAACCTTCACGCAATTGACGAAGCGGGTCTAGTTCACATCCCCTTCTCCTCCAAAACAAACAAACAAACAATAAAAAACACAACAATCTGGTACAAGTCAGAAGCCACGTTCCACCCCGTTCCTCGTACGTATAACATCGCTCAGCTGCCCTTTGCGAGAGCTTCAGGGCTTGCTGCAGTCATGGAAGCGTCGGCACTTTATGACCTTGAGGTAGGTGACCACTCGGTGTGCATCGTTCTTGAAGCAGCTGAGCAGGTCCTGCCGGTGATTGCGTAGGAGGCTCTCGTCGACCGGGGGCAGCGCCCCGACAGAGGTGAACTCCAGGGCGGGCTTCCTGCCCTCGCTCATCTGCAGGGGGAGCCAACGAACACAAAGTTACGTTTTTTTTCATGTAGGGGGCTTTCGCGAGCGATGTTATCCATAATAGAGGTGGGGTTTTTTTTTGTTTGGAGTGGATTGTGTGTCGGTTGAGTAAACCCAGTCAAATTGTAAACGTTGGTGGTTTACTCTCCAAAACACCGGTGTGCAGAACTCGTAACGAATTGGCACGTTTTGTTGACGTGACAAAGCTTACCGAGTGGCTGTGTCGGGTGGTGGCGGATTTAACGACACATTTAAATGTACGCGATCTAACCCAAAAAAAAACCTCTATTCCGGACACAAGGTTTGAACTTCTTTTCACACCGTGCGTAGCCAACCGTGCTAACCGGACGTGCGGGGGAAAGACAACAAACTAGACAAAAAGCAATTGCAAAGAAATGAGTTTTCAATCTCGATTAATTAAAAGTTGCAGATCTCCGGTGGTCTCCTAATATCGGAAAGGAGAGCGCTCCAGACGGCTGCAGAAGCACGTCTGAACGCGCGCGTGTCTAAAAACATTTGTTTAAAGTATTTGGCTGCTATATATTTCCACCTGCGAAGCCACGTTGTTGAGCTGTCGTTTCTGGCCAGGTCGCTTCTGAAAAAGAGCTACATGGCTCAGTGGGCCTTGCCTGGTACAATAAAAAATTAGTTTACAGTTTTAGTTTAATAGTTTGTTTCCTCGATTGTCACTTGATATCATCATCGTAATTATCGTCCTCGGTTATGTATGGTGCAGTGATATGAAAAAGAACAGAGATTAATTGCATCAATTCTTATAATGCATGGATTTGTCTAAATAAAATGTGACGTCCATAGCTGGTTCAAATTGACCCACAAACGGGTACATCTATATTTTGGATGTTGTACAAAGTATACATTTATAATTATCATTTTAGAACATTTAAATGAATAGCTTCAGCGTACTTATCAGGGAACCATTCATAATAAGCACTTATAAGTTGCCTTTCACAACAGATCTCGAGGCGCCAGAATCATTTGTACAGTGCCCACCACCAATGACAGTATCGATATAGATCCTGAGGTTCGTTGTTGATTTGAGAATAAAATTTCTCCTGCCACAGCTGCAACAACACTCAATATCTTTCCCCAGTGACATCTCATGTTTTTATTTTATTTTATAATTACTCTTTCGGAAAGAGCGTGTCGCTATAATGGAGAAATTACTCTAAGTGTGTACCACGAAATTCTGAATGCTGGAAGGTCAATTCCATTTTTAAAATAACACTTTAAAAGTCTACCCATCTCAGAAAAGGCACATTAGATTATTATGCCTTTTGTCACGTATTTTTTTTTGTAATCCAATAGACAATTATGTTTTAGTTTGAAGTACCAAACATTTTTTTCTGCCCTGGAATTGGAGGCGTGTAAATGCATCGCATTTCTTAAGGATGTTGCCTGTTCTAAAATGTAATGTTGCATTGCATTGGCACCAGAGTTGGCAAAGATCACGCGTCTCCCCCCCCCCGTCCCCGCATACAAATTGCACCATAAACGAACGGTGTTGTCCCTCCGCTGATCCTCAGCCCTAAGGGGAGGGTTCGGGTTATTTTCCTAAACAAAATGTAAAACATCTTCTCGTGTCCAGCACGGAAATTGGTCTGGTTTCAATTTGCAATTTGCAAGGAAATGTTCGCCATTATTTTTAACACATCTAAAATGATAAAGCCCCCCCCCCCCCACCACTACCCACCGCTCTCCACCACGTTGCCATGTAACATTAGGAGCAACCCGATAACCACGACCGCACTTCCGATGTTTAAGTAACGCATAGTCGTCGAATGTCCACGACTTCTTCTTCACTTCAACAACAACAAAAATGATGACAACGCTGGAGTGGCAGCCAAGGAACGGAGCGCATCCGAAAGGACACGACCAGCAAGGAGATGGAGCAACGGCATTGACTTGAGTGCAGCCGCTAAAGAGGGGCGCCACGGTGGCGAGAAGTTAACTACCTCGCCTGGTATGCATGTTCTACCCGGGGTTTGCGCCGATTTTTATGCGGGTCCCGCTTGTTTTTCCCTCCACACTTGGGTGTCCGCGTGATAAGCTATCGACTCCGTTGAGCTATCATTTGTGGCCAGGTCGCTTCTGAAGAAAGAGCTGTACAGCATAACTCAGTGGACCTTACCCAATAATAATAATTAATCATAATATAATCTTTACATTGCAGGACCGTAAGAGATTACAGTGGTTTTGTGGAGACGTTCACGCAGCAGTGAATTGACCAGGCTGATATTGACGATGACGCCTGTTGGTGCGCAAAGAAGAATGAATGAATGGATGGATGGATGGTCCTCCCCCCCCTTCTCCTTTCCCTCACCTTCTCCTACTATAAAAAAAAAATACCACGATCCCGATCATTGTCCCTACATATGTAGGGCAGAGAGCCCAACCACCCTCCCTCTCTCCTGCCCAGTGAGCACCTGGCCTCGGGCTTTCGTCCGCGTAACATCTGTACCACCCCCCTCCCCTTAGCCCCCCGCGCGCTCTCGTGCCGGGCTCTTGTTCAAAAAAAAAATAAAGAGGAATGAACGGAGGGATGGATGAACGCGTACCGTGGCAACGCCGTCCTGTAGCAGGCGCTGCATCGCGGCGAGCTGCTTGGCGAGCGGGATGGCGTGGGTCCGCAGGAACACCCCGCTCCACGACTCCAGCACCTCCAGAGATATGCGCAGCAGCTCGTCGTCCTGTGGCGGCGCGCGCGCACGAACACACCAAAGACAAAAGATCCCCCCTCGTCCGTATAGCCTTCACAGACTGTTGTTGCAAGCGCAGTTAGCGAGCGCCTGTGAAGGCTGACACGGTTGCACCAGGGGGTGGGTGGCCAGAACGACGCCCGACTACCGCGATGTATCTTTTCACACACCTCCATCAGCTGCTCATTTGAGGCTGAGTCGACCCAGGGGAGGCCCAAGACCGACTCACATAACCGCCACTAGGTGTTGGCCGTGAGCAGGAATCGAACTCGGGTCACCAGGTTCGTAGCGCAGCGCGCTAACTGCTACACCAACGCTCCCCACACACACGCTTCCCACCTTTCAGCTACGTGAAAATATCTTGGATATATCGGGAGTGAGAAGTAAATGAAATGAAAATATTCTTCGGCTCCAATTATTTTTTTTTTTATCAAATATATTTGCGAGATCTTCATCGGTGTTTTGGTGGTGGTGGTGGTGGTGGCTTAAAGAAAGCCTTCATCCAGCAGTGGATTGGCCCATGGTTGTTGATGACGGTGACGGGTACCGGTTTCACAAGTGCGGTGCGTGAAATCCCAGAAATCGCCACGCACGCTCACCGACACTCGGCATACTCGTCGACGACGCTGCCTTCAAACGAGTCGTGATCGGCGACGTTTCGGGCAATGGCCCTTCTTCGGAGCACATACACCGAGACGATGGGCCATAACACCCGAAATATTACGAGTAGACAGAGTTTTTTTTTCGTCGTTAATTGTACTTGTGCACTACTGCCGACGCAGCCTATGATGTGTTTGTTTTCCCCATGACTTGGATGGGCATTATGGCTGGTGATGGTAAGGCATTCAGCGTCAGTGCTGTGGAAACTGCTCTGAAAGTTCATTAACAATTGGTCGTTTTAATGTACTCAGATGATGATTGAATACATTGCGTCAGAATTCATTATTTCAAGTGTATTACCTGGCTCCTGCGTGCTGCGGTCAGTCTCATGAAATCTCAACACATTGATTAGTCAATAACACTATAGCCTTAAAGTAAAATATATATATATACAATAGGCAAAGTGTTATTGATGAATGTGTTGAGATTGTTGTTGTTACGTGTGCTTTTGTACCACGGCCAACGCAGCAAAGTAACCAACACCAACTCATTGTTTAAACCCATTTACCTGATGTGACTCTGCAAAATGTTGCCGTGCGTACAAGCCCGTACATATTTATGCAAACGCCCTTTTGCGAAGTTTGCCTTTTTTTTCAGCCGTCTTATCAAGCGCGCTACGTACAAAAGTGAACATTGAACGCGCGCCTATTTATTTCGCCGCGACTTGCAAGATGAAGAGAGCCGATCGGGGTGGCTCAGATTTTGTTTTGCATTCCGAACGTTTAGCGCACTGCCCTTGTGACACCAAGCGTGGCTCCGCCAAACACCAATTGGGCTCGGCTGTCTTATGTTATCTCCCTCGCCTGGCATGAAAGAGATCGGGGGAGGGGGGGGGGGGTTCGATCCAGACCCTAACGTCTGCTGTATATTTCGAGTTTGTATGTTCTCCCCGTGGTCGCGTGGATTTTATGTCACCGGGTCCTCTGGTTGCTTCCCCCCACCCCCACCTCCACATTTAGAATCATGCATGTAGATGATTTAGATTATTTGGTTGCTATAAACTTCCACCTGATAATCCACTTTGTTGAGATATAATTTGTGGCCAGGTCGCTTTAAAAAAAATCTAATAGCTTAGTGGGCTTTACCTGGTAAGAAAAAGTATTACATTTTATTTATCTATATTTCTAAGTGATTTGCTTACCTTTCCTAAACTTTGCACTCGTATAGTGTTTTTGTATCGTCGGTTGTAACGTTCTGACCCGGCCTCTTACTAGACATCTGTGAAAAAAATTGCGGTGTAGCTCATCGGATTCCTCCAGTAATAAATACATATTCAGATTCCGAACAAAGGGCGGCTTTGTCCGTTCCTCGTGAATCATCACCAATTTTGCTCGGGCCCCGTGTCACGTGCCTGCGAAATGCAGTGCATCTGCACCACCCCAAGGTCCTGTGTCAGACGATCGCCGCCCGCCACCCCCACCCCCGGCACGGTGATTGCAAATAACGTCCGTGCGACGCGCATTTTACGCTCCGCCACCACGAATTCGCACGGCAAAAAGCAAGACAGCTTCGAGCAGGTCTTCCCAAACTCCAGTTCTACGCGATCAACCTCCCCCCCTCCCCCACCACCACCCTGGCAACCACGCTACGTCCTTCCACATTAACCAATTAACTTGCTTATACCACATTCAGATACAAATTGCCTCGTTTCTACGCTGCACGCGCCCGATGATTGCCAAACACGTGTCGCGTGACGCGCTGAGCAACTAACGCTGTTCAGCGTTAATAGAGCCGAATCACATTCACATTGAGATCTCAGTGCGCGCGGGCGCGCGCGTGTTCTAAGCGAGGCAGAAGATTAGTCTCTGGACAGAGCCACATTTGCAAATGTGATTTGTTAATTGAATCCTTAACTGTGTATCGATATTCTTTGGGTCTTTCGGTAAAGTCACGTAGATAGAGAAAAAAAAAACTTTTCATTTTTATTATTTTATTGTTATTATGTTTCCTTTCGACGTGACTTTACCGAAAGACCCAAATAATATGAATTCCTGCAGTCACGAAAGCTTTAAGTCAATGTGTATCGATAGTTCAATGTGAATGCGCCATTTTATTGAGGCACTGTGTGTAATCTTGGTGTGGTCTGGGACTGTTTTGCTGTTCTTTTTACTGCCTTGCCCAAGCTTGATAAAATTGGACTAATATCATTATTTATTAAATATTAATATTTAGTGACTTTTTGTTTGTATTGGTGATTGTTGTTGTGGTAAATTGCGAACCCCGCCCATGCTGGATATCTGTGAAAAAGAGCTGCATAAGCTCATAGGGATTCCTCCTCCTGCAGCCTAAATAAATATTCTGCTTCAATACGTGGAGTCAAAGTAAACAACAAGCTACTACCCCACTCCCCCCCCCCCAAAAAAAACAATTTGGTTGCGTTTTATGCAACGTGGAGCCGCGATTGGCGCTCACTCGAGAAAGATGAAATTTTTCAACTGTAAATAATCGTCGTGATCTCTCCAATGCAGTCAAAGGTCACGATCAGTCTTCTCTTTATTTCATCTCTCTTTGAGCTTTAGGTACCACGATCATCTGCGTGATAATTGGACGATATGATTTTTTTTTGCTTTTCGTCAACGAATCTATCAACACCAGCTGCATAGGCCGCATTAGGCGTAGGAGACGTATGATGTGTTTACATGTGCTTTGAGAGCTCGGCTTTCAATATGAAATGGCTTTTCATTACGTTAATTAGACTTAGAGGTATGTTTCTTTTTTCCATCCGAATTGAAGTTTTGGTCTGTAACGGATATCCTCTCCGAATTGGATAAACTTCATGCCTATTGATTTCCTTCTCAATTAGATTTAATTGAGAAAAAAAAACAACCTTACCTCGTTAGCCATTGTGATCCGTGGGGGGGGGGGAGAAACCTAATTATTTATCTTTTTAGAGGCGGCTCATGATGGATGAAACGTCACAAATAAAGCCATATTAAATTAAAGCGCGCAGTCCGCGCCATGAACGGACTCCTGAGAATGCGCCTAACGTTCATCATCTCCGAAAGGTTGCGCAAATGCGCAGCTTGGAAGGTCAGCCGAGGCAGCCAAAGATGGGGGACGTTCAGCTCATAAGGTCATTGTCTCCCGCACCCTCAACGCTCACGACCTTACAAGATGAATGAACTACGCCCATTGTCATCTCATCTGTGGGTGTCCAGACACTCCGCAGTAGAAGTATTTGCGCTGAGTTAGCCGCGTTAACCGGCCACGTGGCTCGGCGAGGTAGAGTGAGGGGCTCGCAATCGGATGGTTTGCGAGTTGAAATCCCTGGCTTGGTTTGGGAGGGGGTGATTGCCCATCATCAATCCGAGGTCGCTAAAATAACGCACTAATTTGTGGCGAAGTCAACAAAAGTCGTCCTATGGATCGACTCACCTCCGTTATATGAGCATGGAATTTACACCATTGGCTCAGGGCTGTAAAGATGACATGAGCACCTGTTTTAACGCTCATTTGAGAAGGAAATCACCTTGACCGCGGTTGACTTTAAATAAACACACGAATTGCAATCATGTTTTTTTACACTGTGCATTATATCGCAAAAGCGGCGCTGCGTCAGAACCTCAGCGCTGGTGTTTGTGGGGACTACTCCGGGTGTGCGTCGCCACTCGCTTCTGCGTGCGTGCTAGAACTCCAGAAATTAGCGGTGCAACTCGCTCACACACCGTCTTATGTAGGACCTCGTCCTTCTTGCTGGGCGCCTGCCAGCTGGCTGGGTGACACGACATCACCACGTTGGGGGGACTCCAAGGTGCCACGCGTGGGGGCTCTCCGTGGTAGGGCTTCTCCTGCTGACGTCAGGAAATACAACGGAGTCAATCAGCATCATCATCGTCACCTTCATCGTCGTCCGTCTTCAGACGCAGTCGCATTCAATTGTGGCCACCATCGTAAAAGTAATGTTTAAGAAGAAAACGAATGAACAGCCCTTTGATTCAATGTACTGTTGGATGAAGATCTCCCCACACCGTGTATATCGTGGGAGATGTTTGACCATACTTCACCACACACTGCTCAACGCAGGTTGGAGAAGCGGGAGTCCTGGACCAGTTCAGACATCACTCGCCGCTAATTTTAAACTGAGCTGGGAATTGAACTCAGGTCAACACGGACGTACAGCAGTGAGCCAATCAGTTTTGTCTCAGCGCCACCCACAAAATAAAACATTATTTAATTCTGAAGAGTAGTATTATTTTGATTTAAAGCTTTCGTGACTGCAGTAATTCATATTCTTAGCTCTTTCGGTAAAGTCACGTTGAAGGGAAACAATAAAATAATAAAATATATATAAAACAATAAAAATTCTCACGACGTTTCGACCATAACACAAAACGGTCGTCACACGTCATCTGTGTGACGACCGTTTTGTGTTATGGTCGAAACGTCGTGAGAATTTTTATTGTTTTATATATATTTTATTATTTTATTGTTTCCCTTCAACGTGACTTTACCGAAAGAGCTAAGAATATAATAGTAGTATTCTTACTCGAGCTCTACCCTAACCTTAGCCGAGCTGACCTCGCTAACATCAGCTGCTATCAATGTGCCCACTGACCATTACACAGGCAGATTTGTACTGGCACGAGGCAAACTGCATGGCTGTCAGAGTTAGTTTATCATTCGCCTTACGCCTAACCCTGACTTACAATATCTAAGGAAACTCACACGGCCTTTTGTTCAGCCACGAGGTATGGACTCTGTGGAATGCGACTTTTGTGAAGGATTATATAACACACACATAATTTTAATCCTTGGATAATGTACTTCTAAACGTAGAAGGGCAAAAAGGTTATGTTGCATACGGTCGGTATTACAACAATGCGTAAAATGCACACTGATGTCGTGAAATCATTTGTCTCCAGACTCATTGATAACGATCCTGCATCTGTAAACTTTGATAATTTCGTTTATGAATGAGGAGTAGATCCGCATTATATAATGATGCTAATAATACAAATTTACAGCCCTTTTGTCATTTCACGTTCCCATGCTGGTTATCAGGGGTTATTCAAGGGGGGGGGGCGGTGGGAGCAGAACCAAATTAGATATAACGCGACACTGACGTTATCTAGGAATCGACATACTGTACAGTGCATATATGTTGAAGTTCCTTCGCACCGTACGTATCCAACCGTGCTAATCGGAGGTGCGTGGCGATAACTACTGCGCCACCACTCCACCCTCGGCTAGTCACACACGGTACTTACTTATATTAATCTCTGATTTAAAAACAAGTTTTGCTGGCTGGCTGCCTGCCTGGCTACGCGCCACCCATCGACACGCTCTTCTCGCTGGCTGGAGGAAAAAAAAAAACGTCCAGCGCGCAGATGGGAGGGGGGCGTGCAGGTAACGGCACGTGGGTGGGTAAGGGGGGGGGGGTTTCGAGGGAAGTGCGGGTTGGGGGGGCGCGTGGGGGGGAGGGGTCCTGAGGGGTGAGGAGGTAGAGACTTTGGGGATGGGTTCGGATCGTCGTTCAACGACGGGTCCTTTCATACACTGGTATATTATATATACATGTCGACAACAAACAAAAAATTGCTGGCTCACTGGACGGAGGGACGGTCACTTCAAAAGCGGGTGCAGGCTGCTAGTTATTATACACGCCGGTGCAGTATTTAAACATGCTAATTGTTAAGTCCGCACATGCAGCGGTGGATCTCAGAGAATCCCTGCAAAATTGGAGCTTCGCACCGAGATCGACGCGTTCAGAAAATGGCATCGCACCCTCAGGGGCAATTAGCCTACATTTTAATGGACATTCCAGCGCCGCATCACTGCGTATATAAATGCAAAGCAGCAATGCTCAAGAGCTGCCTCTGTTCATCGCCGAAACTGATTGGGTTGCATCGGGACCAATCGCAGAAACCACCTCCCCCCACCCCCCCCCCCGCGCTTATTATATCTTCCAGGGGCAGCGCCTTTCCTAATTATCTGGGCTCCCCAAGGTGGGAAGAAATGGGAGAGCCCCCCCCCCCCCTCTCGAAATCTGAAAGATACAGCAAGCGCATCGATTGCGTTCTTTGCAATCAGGTGAGCGCGTGCCAAAGCTATAACAGTACAATAAAAAAACACTAAAGCAGCAACAATAAGCCGGCATTAACCGAGCCTCACTTATTTCAGGGTATTCCGAATATGCAATGAAATAGTAGCGGTAATGGCACGTATTATTTATTAAATAGCAAGTACGGTATTATATTGCAACTATTGCTTGAACGATATATATAGATATTCTTTGGTTCTTTCGGTAAAGCCACGTAGATAGAAAAAATAAATATATCACGACGTTTCGATCGCAACGCAAGCAATCGTCATCAGGTGATTGCTTGCGTTGCGATCGAAACGTCGTGATATTTTTTATTATTTTTTCTATCTACGTGGCTTTACCGAAAGACCCAAAGAATATGAATTCCTGCAGTCACGAAAGCTTTAAGTCAAGAGATATATAGGCCTGCGTATTTGGTATTTGTTTAGCTGTGTAAAATATTTAACAGCAATAGGTTTTAAGGATTGTTGAGGTTTTGACCTTGGACACGATGAACGGAGTTATTATTTTCCCGGCACAGCAATACGCAATCTATCCGCTCACTTTGGTAACCCCCCCAAAAAACTCCGTTAATGTGACTTGCCAATCACAGAGAATGGTTGGAGGGGGGGGGGGTGGGGGGGGGGGGGGGGGGGGGGGGGGAATTGGCATAATACATATCGTGTCAACAAGCCCACTGCTGTAAATGTGTCACATTCAAGTTAGGTTGTGGGTGGGTCTGCCGAAAAGTTAAGTACCCTCGACAGCGCCCTCCCGTTTCCCGGATCTCCCAACGGAACGTGGCGGTCTCTCGGCGGTGATGGGTGAAGAGCAGTAGCGGTATTTCGCCGAGGTTCGCCTACCAGCTCGGCGTACGCTTGGCTGGACAGGTGGTAGACGAACTCGGCTATGGGGATGGCCAGGTTGAGGTCACGGAGAGGATCATTGTCCCGCGCGGCAGGGCGACCCCACGCGTCTCTGGCCAGCACCGACATGACGAGCAGCAGCTGCGCGAGAGAGCCTGGGCGTGCACGAGAAAAAAAGACGCGACAAACGAGGGCGCGCTGTGATGAAACGCGCTCGACAATTCCAACGCAGTCTTCTTCAAAAACACTCTCCAGCCTCAATCGTCGGCTCCCCCGCCCCTGCTCCCAAAGGCCCAGATGTTGGTGCCATCTGGTGCAGAGTTAATTGCGGGCGACTGCCGCGTAAAGACCAATGAAGCACACGTGCATGCGCGCTGCAGTGACAATGTCCAAACTAATTTCGCAGATTTAGTCTGGCAATAAACGCGTATTGTGTGCCGCCACGAACGGTGAAGACGCACAAAAAGACAAAGATCCCCCGTATAGCCAGAACAAACCGTTGGGGCAAATGCTGCTAGCGAGGATCACCTATGAAGGCCGGAACGGCACACGAGGGGATGGGTGGCCAACAACACGTCAGGCCGGCCTTTGTCTCCCACAAACACGCACACGCGTTCGTGTGCAAACCCTCACCGAGTCTCCGTTAGGAAGAATAGGGTAAATAACTCGGCTTCCTCGAATCGAAATGTATCCTCATGAATTTAGTATAGACTATCTTACCGAATTACGCGTTATTATTTTACGCTTACGTCCTGATTATAACTGCCTGTAATTTGATGCACATGCCACGTGTACGTTATTTTTGATAGCTTGAGAGATTTATGAATTCGATACAATACAAAATACTGGCGATTTTGGAAGACGGGATGGATACGTTTGTACCGGTTGAACCTATATTCCTAAAACAACAATGTTCTTTTTTTAAAATAGGATTAAATGGCACTTATTCTGAACAATAATATAAATTGGGAACACTGATATATTTCGCTGTTGCTTCGTCCTCATTGTAAAACGGCAATTGTGTTAGAACTCAAGCGAAAATTGCAGACTTTGTTTTGCCACGACCTGGCAGTTTGTTCATCCGTCAATAATTAATAAACGGAAAATACGCAAATTGCGAATTCGCTATCAACGGACACGTTCACGTGCGATCACACGTTGAACGTCCACGTGCGATTACACGTGACCGTGTAACTGGTTATTTAATAGACACGTTGAAATGTAACGTCATTACATCGTATGGGTAATGATAACCACGTCATATATATATCTGAGGTATCTGTGGCGGCTACTGCAATTTAATCACGGCAAATGATAACATTTACAAGCGTCACGCTGTTTCTTTTACATTCACTAAATGAAGCCACGTACAAACATATACTGTAGAGGCACGTGTACACACACAAGACAAATACCCCTAAGAGCTTGAATAGACTTTTGGGGCAAGCGCTGTTGGTGAGCACCTATGAAGGCCGGCAAGGCACATCAGGGGGTGGGTGGCCAGCACCACGCCCGCTCGCCTTTGTTTCCCAAGTGGCGATGATTACACACCACACCAAGTACTCATTTGAGGCTGAGTAAACTTAGGGGAGGCCCAGGACCGGTTCAGGACCGGTTAGAAAGCATCTATAAAGCTTGGCGCACAAAGACAAAGACACATACACAGACGCACACAACGTATATGTACAATAGCCCACGCAGACTATTACTGTCGACCCATATCCGCAGAGAGGGGGTGGGGGGCATTCAGTACCTCCTTTCATTGTAGAAGTTAAAAATGTAGTCTTATAACAAAAAGTTGGCTTTTGGCAACAGAGTGTCTGAGCTTCTGACAAAACAGGCAAAAACAATATCCCAAGTCCAAACACTGGCTGCTACACACTTTGAGGAAACCACGGTGCCTTCTAAAGCCAAGAGGGCCAACGTCGGCCTGTTATAAAGGGTGCGAGGGCTGTTGAATATTCGCAGGGTCGCAGGCGCAATATTTACGTTACCTCCACCGTTTCGTGGAAACATTGTGAAGGGCAATGCCTTTATTCAAGCAAACGTGTTTTTGTTTTCACGGGCACCGCGGCTCATGCATGGTTGATAACTGAGAGCGTCTTCCATGCTCGTCGTACGTCCGGGCGTGCACGTTGCTCTGCTGTGCAGGTTTTGCATTGCACTAAAAAGTATTTTTCAGAGTATGTGGTGGGGTTTTTATTCCTATTCCGCAGTGTTCGGTTGTGCAAAATAGACGCGGTTTGTCTTGTTGGGTTTTTCACCGCGATATAAATACGGACAGGCGTTTCATTCAATCCATTCATTCATCCAGAAATACGAATTCTAAGCGTAATAAGGTGTAATTGCAAGGCATTTTACCTTAACCCAGTACATGCGTGGCATTGTTGACCATGCGTAAAATTGCTTTTGGACATTTACAATGACATCCTTATCTTACGTAATTGTGTGTGTGTGTGTGGTGTATTGAAAAAAATGCTGTCCATTTTTTCCCCACCTTTTTTTCCAGATGACCCTTGCCGAGTTGGGAATAATGACGTCACGGTCGAGATTCGGTGTCAATCAGTTGGCCCGGTGCACGCATTTCGTTAACCAAGACGACGCGTGGCTTACAGCGACCGAACGGCAATCGGGCTCTTCCCCTGTTACATTCACAAATACGCAGAGCGCGTGTAAATAAGCCGCCTCATGTATGCGGCACCTACGTGCGTAGCTACCCAATGACGTGACGTGCCTTTTAAAGCCATACTTTAAACATCAGCAAGGTGAGTGAATGTGATTCAAATTTTTTGTTGTTGCGCCCTATACGAAGCAACCGACAATGACTCGGAGATAAACACGCATCCTCTGGGCACGCAAGCAGCGTTGAGGCAGGACATTTCCGAGCGAGGAAGGGCATTTCGCCGTGAGTTTATCATTCATTGTGTCCTTCCTCATCCCGAGTGACAAAGAAAAAAAGGCTCTCAACGAAGCGGCGGTGACGGCGCAGCAAAAATCAAAACATCCACCGCATCGCCCCGCATAAAGTCGTAAATTAGCACCACTACTGGCGCCTTGCGTATTGCTGGAGCAATTTACATAGCGCGATAATAGAGTTTAGATTTATACATCATCATCAGCATCACCAACACACACACAATGAATGGGTTGTTAAGGAGCCCACATGGCCAATGCGTTCTCCTTTAAAGCTCAGACGGGGTTTTTTTTTTTCGCTCGGACTCGCCGTTGCGTGGCTCTCGGCACTGTTGGAAGGGGCCTGCCGGCTCCCCGCGGGACGTCAGAGCCCATTTAGCGAGCAATGTTCCTATTCTATACACGGCCCAGACTGCCAAACGGATAACCACGAGCTACACATTGTTTCGCCTTCCAGTTATCAGGGCTGGGAGTCGAGGTATGGAATGGGAGAGACGTAACAAAAGCCACCTCCCCATCTCCACCCCCTCTCCGTTTTCGGTCTTTCACAATAGGGCCTTTTCTTTTTTTAACAAATCGCCCCGAATTCGTCCAAAGGCGTCAGCTCGCGTCAGCCAAGCGGGGTCGAGCCTGCAGATTGCTGGATGGATGACCGCAACGGTACTCGAAAGACAGGTGTAATGGGCGCAGTGGGCACGTTGAAGCGAAGGCTAATGTTTTTTTTTTCTTTCGTACGGTTGCTGATGTAAATGCGGAGTCAACAACTACAATTTCACATTCAGGTGGTCAAGCCAGACAGACGCGTCCGGTGTAATGGAGCGTATCATCGCTGTGATGTCTCCCTCGTATTTGTGGATCGTGCATTGTTATATGTTTGTCCGGTCTGTTCTGGTTTGACCGCAGTGGCAAACTGCTGGAGAGTTTTTACGTTTCCATTCGTGCATCAGATATATCCGCATCTGCTGCCATAGTTTGTGCGGATGCGGTTTAGGGTTGACCATGAGCTTCGTGGAAGATCAAACCCAGAACATCCTCTGTCAATGTCAACCCGCATTGACCGGTGCGCGAGAGTTTGGTCAAATATACGCCCCGCCACGGTTAGCAATGACAAATCCGGGCTTCGCCATGACAAATATGCCGCTGTGTACCACGGGGGACGTCGTCGCGACAAAGTAAATCAGAGTCTGTTGTTTCGCAGCCGCTGCCCGTCGCCTTTGAGCGTGCGTGGTATTCATTCACTAATTGTCGTGCGATCTTTAGCGGGCCCAATCGACCGCTCCTCGGGTCGTTAACTAGTAATTAGCCAGCTCGTTTAAAATTCTGCGCGAGTCATTTCGCTGAATGTGCTATTTACGCCCAAAAATTCGGATGGAATCTAATTAATTGACTAAACGGCCGTGCATTTGTGATATTTCCGCTTTGTCTCGGATAGAGATACCTAAAATAAAGCAGTGGCAAATTGAAGCGATACATATTGTATGAGTGTGCAACACATTGGCTAATGCCCATTGCATCGCACGCAAAACAGTAAAGGAGCAACCGTGCAATTGCCTGCTCAGGCTACTGCTGGTGGAAGAGCCTCGGCTAGAGGGTATTTGGCCTACTCTTCCACGACGGCCAAGCTGTCTAGGATGATGTGGAATTATCCACACTTTACCGGGGGGGTGGCGACGGACTGATTTGAGAAACGTTCCAATAGATTCCACTGCCGTACCCCGGGAGTTCGAATATAAGCGGCGGTCTCTGCGTTGAAACTCCATTGTGTTCACAACTGAGGCCATGGCACTCTGAAGTTGGGCTGGGGGGGTGGGGGGTCAATCAAATATAAAGCCTTGATGCGAATGTAAATTCAAGTTAGGTATGGCTTAATACGGACCGGATTAAAATACATATTTAAATATAAATTGCGTGATTCTATCACCCCAACCCCCCCCCCCCCCCGGGACAATGGGTAAACATTTATTCAATCGCTCTGTATGACTACTATGACTTCTGGGTGTTTGTCGGTGTGTAGGCTATTAACGTATTACGCACACTGTCAGCGCTCCCAGCGAACTCTCTGCTCGGGATTTAAAACTCCTAAACCGAATTGACGAATTAATATCCTTCACGCTCCCAATATCATTATGATCGTCGAGCTGTATGGCCATTATAGATTGTTGGGGTAAAACGATGTAAGCAAATACGGAAATCCCTTTGATATACGAGACAGATTAGTTCCTGCATAGTTGTCCGTAAAGTGGAATTCCATATATCGAACCCTATTTTGCCATTGACTTCCATTCTATGAAAAGAGATGCGTTTCGCGCCAAAAAAATAAAATAAAAGCACAGTTTAAAAATGCAGAAAATCTAGCACATATTTAATGGCAAATGATAAATTGCTGATAAGAATCAATACGTCGTGAAATGGAAAAAAAATGCCGCGCAGGAAAATGACAGAGCGCGATTTCCCCTAAAAAAATTATTTCGATATTTAACAAAAAATCTACTAGATCTGAATTTAACCGAACGTATGTGGACTCCGTTCCCTAATTTATATATTACCTTCGCGCATAATTCCGTATATTTCGTTGTCGTATAACGAGGGATGAGTGTACATCACAATGGAGTATAAGCGCAACGTGGTGACGGTACGTCTAGAACTACACCAAGCCGCCGTACCAAGTTCATAACTCATTTGTGTCGACCTGGGGAAGTCCCAGGACATTTTCAGATGCCGCTCGCCAATAATTGTATTCGCGACAGTGAATCAAACTCTGTCGCCGGGTACAAAGCAGAGTGCGCAAATCACCGTGATTGTGCCACACGCGTCACGTGAAGGTTTTGGGCAGTAGTGGCGTTGTGGTTAGCACGCTACGATACAAACCTGAGATCGAATACCGCTCACGACCAACACCCGTGTCGATTATCTGAACCGATCCTGGGTCGACTCAGCCTCAAATGTGTACCCCGTGCGGTGTGTAAATATCGCCACTAGGGGAGACAAAGGCGGCCGTGCGTGGTTCCGGCCACCCACCCCCTCGTGTGCCGTGACCGGCCTTCGTAGGTGCTCGCAAACAGCACTTGCCCTCAATCGTCTGTTAAGGCTATACGGGGGATCTTTGTCTTTGCAGCGAAGGTTGGAAACAATGCTGTTAGGAATCGCTTTGTTATCCGATGCGGCCCACGAGAAGACGGAAAAGTCCGAACAATGCACGTGCAGCGAATACGTCTCTCGAGTAGTAAAGTCGGCACGTGACATCAGCTGCTCATGTCAGGCCCAGTCGACTTGGGGTAGGCACGGATTAGTTTAGTTCGGGCATCACTTGAACACTGCACGACCGGGAATCAAGTCTGCTTTTCTTTTGGTATCGTGCAGTGGAACTCCAACGCTGGATGAAGGCCTCCCCCAAACCGTGACCGTCTCTCATGGCTGACGATAGCGAGAATTTCACGTTTAGCCCGCGACTCCTCTTAAGCACAAGAATGCATAAAAAAAGACACAACACGTGTCAATAGGACTGCTGCCTTAAAAATATAAATAAATTCTAGAAAACGTTTTGTGTACATAGACCAGAAAGGCATGACGTGTGAGACGACGTAGAGGTATAAGGCGGTGTTTTTTGACGAACACGTGTGATTTTTTTTAGTAAAAAAAAATTCTAGCTGTGATTTTCACACCTGATGATGATTGCTTGTGTTGCAATCGAAACGTCGTGATTTAATTTACTTTTTTTTTCTTATCTTTTTATCTCTTATTTTATTTTTTACCTACGCGACTTTACCGAAAGAACCAAAGCGTATGGATCCTTGCAGTCACGAAAACTTCAAATCTAGAATGATTTTTTCGTATTGTTATTTGTGCGCGGCTGCCAGCCAATTCACATCTCCAACTAACGTTGAACAGAACACAACAACCCCGATATGTCGAGGCCACTGTGCACTTCGCGAGAGTTGTCGCTAAAGGGCGCTACAGATCTCTCTGTGACACACGTGC